AAATGATATAGATTTTTTTTTTTTTTTGGTACCGGGGATTGAACTTGGGTCCTTGTGCTTGCAAGGCAGGCCACCAAACCAATGAGCTAAGTCCCTGGCCCTGAATTAGATTTTTTTTAATGACACAAGGGCTTCTTTAGACAAAAAAAAAACAAAAAAAAAAACCTTTTCACTACACTATACCTTAAATAAAAGGATCTTTCAGGACACTGACTTTTTTTTTTTCTCTAAAGATCCATAGAATGGGCAAACTTTCATTATTTAGAGCCAAAATCAATAAACATCAATCATAAAGAAAAAGTAATTACCAAATTTTAATTTGAACACTACACTAGGATGGCACAAGGCATGTATATGGACTATTTGCCTTAAGTCCAGTTTTAATATATTCTAATGCCCACTACGAACTAGTAGATACAAAATTTTCATATTTACCAATTTCCTACTGAAAATGAGGTAAGTTAGAAAGCCACTGCTTGTCCTCTAACACCAAAAGTCTCATTTTGGAAGGTATGACTCTCTGGAGAGGCAGTGGGATTGATTTTATGACCTCATTCTCTCCCTCAGTGTAGACAGTGAAACCCTCTACAGACCAAAAGGCAGAATCAAATCTCTAACCTTGACATGAAATAGTAAAATTGAATGACAAAATTTGAGATCCTAGGAATGCTCAGACTTTAACATGAATTCAATTTGGTGGGTTGATATTGTTGTAATTTTTCTGTTACACTGCTCATAATTTCAACTGCTTAATCATAAATTTGTACAACTGGACGCACAATGTTCAGGAAAAAATTCTGCCTCATTTCCAAAGATAACATTTGGCTATGTATGTCATTAAAGATTCTAGGAATATTTATAATTGGACAACTAGTTAAAATGTTTTAAATATTAAATTATGATCTTGGTTCCAAAAGGCTAGTCTGAAAGTTATTTATTTGGCCTATGCTACATTCTTTTTTTTTTTCAGCTTTAATTGAGTTTATTGGTACATTTTAGGGATACAGTACAGTTACATTCATTGTTGGGATCTTGTACCTCTACATGACAAGCCTTGGTTCTCATTTTTTCCCCTTATCCCTGCCCTCCCTTCACCCCCTCCTCCCCTCCCCATCTATAACCACTTTATTTCCATCTTTTCATTATCTCACATTTTTTTATTTTCCCTTTTTACCCTTCCCCTACCCGTCCCACCTTCCCTATACCTTTAGCTCCTTTCTTCCCATTCTATGTTACATTCTTAAAGGAAAGAAAACAATTAAACCAGAAATTTAAAAAATTTACATACCTGAGCTGGTTATGTTCACTGTCATCAAGCCGCTTCTGTTCTTCCTGTGATGCCACTCCTAAGTCTGGTTCTGTGGACACACGTACGTATCTAGTTAAAATAGGCTACTTAGAACAGATAGCAGGTAGTTTTTAATGAAAATAGAAAATAAAATTCAGTATTAAAATTTTATTATTCCCCCAATTAAGAATTTAAGTTAAGCCTAATTTTTAGATGAATGTTTATTCATTTAGGTGATTTTTCTAATTACCCAAGGCTCCAACAGATCACCTAGAGAGGCACGAGCTGTCACTAGGTTCACAGAATATACACATCGCAAGGATTTATCCAAAAGTTCATCCACTTGGTGTAAATCAACAAACCTTCAGAAATAAAATTTAAAAGTACCACTGAAAGTACCATAAATCCACACTGCACACTATTCTGTACCTCATAATAGTCACATTAAACAACCTGCTTAGAATATTGTTCACCTTTAATAGTTTTCAAAATTACTGTTTCTTTTTACACCTTTTACTGTGAATACCCCATTCCTTATATCTGAAATTTTTTCAGTACCCTAACAAATTTTTGTTTGCTTGTTTTAAGACTTAGTTGGCCACATGAAGTCTTCCTTGATTATGGCTGTTTTTCTTTAGATAACCAGGGGTCTCTCTCCTCAGGGCTACCTTAGTACTTCATTGACTTTTCTACTGCATCTTTATCACTTGAATGATAAAATATTTCTGTATGTTTCTCTTTCTCCTGGACTAGAACAGTCTTTTAAATCACCTCTGCACAAGAGGTGCAACCACTGTGGAAATCAATATGGAGATACCTCAAAAAACTACGGTTAGAGGTCCCATTTGACCCAGCTAGTCCTCTGCTGGGTATCTTCACCAAAGATTTAAAAGAATCATACTATAGTGATATATGCATACCACAGTTGGAAATAGCTAAAATTTGGAAACAGCCCAATTGCCAGTGGAGATTGGATAAAGAAGATATGGTTTTTTTAAAAAAATAAAATGGAGTACTACTCAGCCATAAAGCACAAGAAACTAGAGATATAGCTAAATAGATGCACATTGAGTCCACATTCTTAAGTGAAATAAATAGGACACACGTGTAAATACCCAAAATTCTGATTATTCTGGCACCCATTCCGAAGCTTATGCTGCTAGTCTAAACCAAATTACTTTCTTCTAATCTCTTTGTAATTTATGTGTGGTTTGGTTACAGAAAGAATACGAATGCGTTATTGAAAGGCATTCTGAGCCGGGCATGGTGGTGCACGTTAGTAATCCCAGCATTCAGGAGGCTGAGGCAAGAAGATCGCCATGAGTTTGAGGCGAGCCTGAGCTACGTAGCCAGTTCAAGACCAGCCTGAACTATACAGCAAGACCCTGTCTGAAAAAAAAAAAAAATCAAGAAAAAAAAATGTGTTCTGTTTGGTTGTAGGTTTCAGAAGAAGAATAAAAGAGAAAGCGAATTTTTGCCACAGAATGATTTTGGAAAGTCAGAACCATAGTATTAGAAAACCAACCAGGGGTACTCTAGGGTCGACTGGTCTCTTCTTTATCTTCTTACTGTTTTCTGCTTGCTGATTTCCACAGGTCTGGAGGGTGTAACTCCCTATCAGACCGGCTCCAGAAGTCATCTTTCCTGGTACGTCGAGGCCGTCTTTCCAAATTCTGGAGAAGGTGACTGACTTTGGGTCACCTTGGGAGGTGGGAGTCGGCGGCGGGCCCCGCGGTGGCCGGAGTCGCCTGGCCGCCCCGTCCAGAGAGTTTAAGTGAAACCCACCGGGAGACTCGGTACCGACGGAGCCAGCGGGGGCCGCAGGCGGGCTGTGGTCTTCCTCGTCACCACCCTCCAGCTCTGCCTTCCTTTGCAGGCAGGGGACGAGGTGGTGCAGGAGCTGGAGCAGGTGGGAGTCGGCGGCGGGCCCCGCGGTGGCCGGAGTCGCCTGGCCGCCCCGTCCAGAGAGTTTAAGTGAAACCCACCGGGAGACTCGGTACCGACGGAGCCAGCGGGGGCCGCAGGCGGGCTGTGGTCTTCCTCGTCACCACCCTCCAGCTCTGCCTTCCTTTGCAGGCAGGGGACGAGGTGGTGCAGGAGCTGGAGCAGGGGCTTCAGGGCTGGGCCGGCAGTCCCTGGGGTGGGGGTGGGCGTCCTGCAGATGGGAATGGGAGACAGGGCGCCTCTGCCACCCTGCTGTCCTAGGGCTTCACCCCGGGGCGGAATGAAGGCCCGCTGGCCCTTCTGCTTGCGAGAGCTGAGGGCGCAGACTCTGGGGAAGAATGCAACCCCTCCTCGTTCTGAGGCTTTATCCTGAATTTTAAGCTGAATCCTCTTGCGAGCATGGTGTTCAGGAACAAAAACGTGGCCCTCTGGTGGTCATACTTCCTGAGCCTCAGAGTTTCTGTTATTCCGTGATTTTAAATGTCAGTCCTAGTCACGGTGCTCAGGATTGCAGTCTTCCTGCGCATGGTTGGGAGGCAGCTTAGGAGGAGGATTAGAATGTTTGTCCAAGCAGAGCAACGGGTACTACAAGATCTTCTCTAGTGTTAGCCGCTTTGTGGGGTTGTGGGTGAGAAGCTTTCAAATGGTGTTTTATAGGTGAGAAGACAGGGAGGGAGGACAGGAGTATCTGCCTGACTGGTTGTACTACACTACAAGCCTATCCTTCCTGTAGAAAGGAGTGTGACCCACAACTAACTTGAATAGTATAATGCCGAGATCATTCTGAGAGCAGCATACCATGCTGTGCAGCCACAGACGGTCATATTCTGCCCAGGAACGAACTTCTTTCCCAACCCTAAGTCAGTGATCTTGATATTTCCTTTAGAGTTCAATAAGATGTTGTCAGTAATGAAGGTGGGCTCCAGTTTCTCCTTTTACAGCACCTTAATGGTTATCAACGACCCAGTGACAAGATGTTCTGTCAGTAGGATCTTGGTAAGGCTGCCTTGGCCAGTGGTGCCCAACACTTGATAGTTCTAAGTGAGGCTCTTCCCATAGGAGCTAGCTTTGGGGCCCAGCCCTTATATTTTGTTGTGCTCAACACCCAAACTCCGTATTTCGTAGCGGACTGACACATGTGGCAAAGGAAGCTGTTCTCCTTCCTGCAAGTCTGGGAAAAGCAGGGAAGGAGCCAGGATCCTCACATCCCACATAAGGGCACCCACATGGCCCAACTACTTGTCATTAGGCTGCACCTCCTAAAGGGTTCAGGGCCTCCCCTTAGTGCCAGGGTTTGTCAACCAACTCTTCAAAACATGTTTGTTTTTTGTTTTGGTACTAGGGATCGAACTCTGGTCCTTGTACTTGCAAGGCAGGTGGCAGAACCACTGAGCTAACTTTTCATTTCCAAGGGGCAAAGGAAGGATTAGGAAGTGATGATTGTCAGATACCATTTTCAGCCTGAGCACTTGCCTGTACTGGTCTTCGCCCTGGCAGATCATAGGAAATAGGGAGATAAAACTTTTGCAAAATGGAAATGGACCAAGAGATTGATGTGGGGAGTAGAAAGGGGAATAAGAAGAGAATATGTATTATGTACATGTAGCAACTTCCCATGATCTATGTAATTATTATGTACTACAAATGTACTAATAAAACAGATATTGTGTTACTTAATTGTGTCAACTTGAGTAAGAAATGCTCACAATATTGGATCAGCATAGTTCTGGGTATGACTGAGGGCATTTACTGAAGATGGAAGACACCCCCTGGGTAGGATTGTCACCCAAATGGTATAAAAAGGAAACGAAGAAGGAAGGCTTGCTTCTGTTAATTCAGAGGAGCTCCAGTCTTCACCTTCACATAGGACATCATCTCCTGGCTTCCAGTACAGACTTTTCAGTCTTCTAGCACAGACCCAGCCACCCACCACAGACCCTTCAACCTCCTGATACCGACTCCCACCAGACACTGAGCTCCAGGCCTTTGTCTGGATCCTATAGCTCTCCAGTCCACAGGCACTATTCCTACACCTTACTCTGTGGGCAACCACTGTAAGCCAGTCTTGTAAATCCTTATATATTGTTTATATCTTACATTAAATCTGTTTCTCTAATGAGCACTGACACATATTTATCATCAATTTTCAAACTCCCAGATATTTGACGTCTTATTACCAAGGATTAAGCTAGTAGAATTTCAATCTGAAAAAATCTGAAAGTAATTTATTAGAGTATAAATAATGCAAAAGCAACATACAAATTGTTGCTTCAGAGTAGTCCCATGTCCTCATCTGCCTCTAAAATACACTTTCTCATACTGTAACAAAATATTACAGTAGTATTTTGTGTCCTATCTATCTTTGCCATTAACTCAGATAAGTTTAACTATCACCTGTTGATTTTTCTACGTGTTTATTTATTAGTATTACTTTGATTCATCCAGAAAACTTCATTATATTTTTTCCCAAGATTTTTATTAAGATTCTTCAGGGATATGAATTTTTGTATTAACAAAATTTATTTTGGACAGAATTATGTATTCTAAAGACATGGGATTTAATGAATACTAAAACTTAATTACAATATGATCTTTTTTCTAGTATCTTTAGAATTCACTTTTTTAGTCCTTGTATAAATATCAATTTATATGAAAAGTGATTGCCTTAGTGAACATCTAAAAATAGAATAAGTTTCGGTCCACACTAAATCCAAAGAATATGGAGATGCATGAGGTAGGAAATGATTACACAACAAATATTTTTTTCTTTATAAACAGTTGTCAGGTTTAAACTTCTTAAGACAAGTGAAAGAAGAAAGAAGTAATGGAGATGAAACTTTAAAGATCCTTTACCATTTAAGAACCTTATATATAGTTTAATAGTTCTAAGCTGTAATATGAGATTCTTTGGAGTTCAAGATCCATTTAAGGGCTCTAAGCAACCAAATACTGTTCTTTGCTGTTTTTATTTTCCTCCTTTAAGGGTATAGTGGAGATTTTCAGAGATGTGTTACGTCATAATGATACAGTTCTAATGATGAATGGAGGATAGCTCTTACTGCTATTTGTATGTGCAGGCTCGTATTTTAAATCTTTCAGGTTTAATTTCTAATATAGTAAATATTAATAGATACAACACACTAAAAATACCCGAGAGGCTAAAATATGAGAGTGAGACTAGCAGCAAAACACACCCTTTCTGTGATCTCAGAATCAAGATACCTGCAAAACAATTTGATGAGAAGAAAAAGAAGTATATCTGAAGGAATGGGGAGGGAGCTGACAGGAAAACCAGAAACTACAGAGAAACTGGAGAAACAGCACAATGCAGAGAAAAGAAACTATCTGGAAAGCTCACTCCAGCTCCCAGGTAGCCACCACAAGGTAAGTCCAGAGAGCATTGGCAGCTACAGGGAGAAACAGCAGGCCAGTCCAGCAGTGCTAGCCCCAGGAAAAGCCCAGTTACTGTAAACTGCAAAAACAGCATGGGGTTTTGCACAGTGACTCTGCATAGCAGGCTAGAGTTGGAGAAGAAATCCAGTCCAGTGCTTGCCATGTTTATGTCTGATCAGAGCCATTTTGGGAAGGAGTTAATTGTTTAAGACGCAAAAGTATGGAACAACCATACTTAAAGGTTTCTGGTGTCACTCTAACAGAGTTGAGGTGGGAGATAGCAATAAACAGTTGTGGAGAGGGCACAGGCTACACAGAGCCCACCTGAGAAGTTTAAGACAGAAGGTCACAGGGGCCCCGCCCTCTGAGGTAAGAAGCCATACTTGGCATGGGTTGCTTCCAGAGGGGGTTGGGTCTGAAAGTGCTTGCATTAAGTCCAGCGGACTGCTTGATGACCCCATCCCATTCCACCACATACATCTAGCATAGAAGTATGTAACACATTTGTTTTTCCCTTTCTATTAACATGAGCAAGGATATGGTTCAGGCTGGATGGTTGGCACAGAAAAGGGTATAATCATTCAAGAGATGCAAATGAAACAATGCTGAGATTCTACCTCCAGAAAGAATGGCTGCTATCAAGAAATCAATAACATGCTGGCAAGGTTGTGGGGGAAAAGGAACTCTTCTCCACTGTTGGAGGGAGTACAGACTGGTGCAACCACTGTGGAAATCAGTGTGGAGGAGAATCCTCAAAAACCTAGCATTAGAAGTTCCATTTGACCCAGATATTCCCCTGCTGGGTATCACTCCAAAAGGAAAGCATCAGACCACACAGTGCTATATGCACACCCATATTTATAGTGACATAGTTTGTAAGAGCTAAATCTTGGAAACAATCCAAAAGCTCGTCAACTGGTGTCTGGATAAAGAAGATGTGGGTTTTTTAAAAATGGAGTACTAAGCCATAGAGAAGATAAACGAGACATGTAGCTAAACAGATGCATATTGAGGCCATACTCAAGTGAAATAAGTAGAATGTGTGTAAATACCTAATTGTCTCTCTGGTGTGAGAAATGGAAAGTGTAAATGAGGACCAAAATGTATAATAGAAAATGTGAAATAGGAGCAAAGGTTCAGAGGAGAAGAGGGAGTGGGGGGGAGGAAAAATAAAAGGAAAAAATGGAAACAAAGCTTTTGTAAATGGGGGTGGAAGGGAGGGAAAGGAAATTGCAAAAAACAAGAGCTAAGATATGTCATATACAGGTACAAATTCCCAATGAGTGTGATCATAGTGTATGCCTCAAATGTACCAATAAATTTAATTTTTAAAAAGTCAAGATTTAAAGCACAAGGT